TAGAAACAACTGTTCACAGTTTAGCACGCATGCATGGCGAAAAGTTGAGGTCAACACGAACAGGAGAAATATGACTCGGAAGCTATTAGCATCGTAGCGTGCTCACTTGCTCTATGTTACTGGCTGACAGGTATAATGATATCGTTATGCGAGTCAGAGCGGCGAAACCCCTTTCAATCATTGATACACCCGATTACAGTGTTTATATACTCGCTCGCACCTTGTCCAGTGCTCTGCCGGATCTGGTGACGGATGCCGGTGACGTCTGCACCGTGGGGGCGGGTTCATAACGCGGTCCCGGTGAGCTAAATATAGGAGCGTGATTGACTGACGGTGACGCTGCACTTTGCAGCGCGTCATGTCTCGGTGCGGAGATGGTATACGCCCCTCTGGTAATCGGTGCTGCTCATCACGAGGTACTCATTTCTATTTAAATCTCGGTTCGAGTTGGAGTCATCGGGCTTGCCGAGATCCCACACCTCAAAATACTGTTCATTTTATCAAATTGTGTGGTATCGCAGCTCATTCCGAGGCCCTGAGAGCAGCATGAATTTGCTAAAGTGAAGTTATATTTATTGTTTCAAATCAGGCGACTGGTGAGTGAGCGATCAATGATCCGACACGGTAAATAAAGGTACAAATATATTCAGCGCCCGCTGTTTAATTACTTCTTCGACTTTAGGAACTAACCTGATTGTAGGAAAATTTTATATAGTGTAGCTCCCTCCCTATTTAAAGCTGAACTCTCAAAGTCGAACAGACCCCTGTCTCGACCTAACCTATACGCCTCCCAGGTTGGTGGCACACCGTGTCCTGCGCTAATCAGACCCCGCACCTGGATAATGCCCGAAAAAGACGGATCGGGTGATCGCTCAGACGGAGCCGTGACCTCGAGTACCCAGGTCACACCGTTAACCCAGGTCACAGCGGGGGGCGGGGGCAGCGGGCGGGGTGTGACATGGTGACGGTGGTAGAGAGGAGGGGGAGAGGGGGTGCACTGGGTATGAAATGATAAGCGTTACAAGATGATGCACTTTAGGTTGTCTTTTCAATACTCAGCATCATATTTCAGTCATCATTGGATATGACCTCTTCTATTTTGAGTTGTGCCCATGCCAAAGGTGACAAATACCTATGTGATGGAATGCACTTAACTGAAACCTTGACCGGTATTAGAGCCTCTGTCTGTCTGCATGGCATCTCGATGTGTCAGCGGGGACACGTTTCAGTCGTGTTACAAACATCTGACACACCCTGTCCGAGCCATACACAGACAAGTGACGGGTCAGACAGGAGATGGTTGATATAATGAGAGCCTTAAGGTGACAGAGCGGGTCAGGTCAGTTTGTCTGAGTAGCACAGGAGGGTGAGTCACTGAGGGGAGAGCAGGGTGGACAGTTGGGGACTGGACAATGGATATGTCATTGTCAGACAGAGGCGGACTTGTGATAAGTAGCTACCTAATTATGGTAGGTATGTACGCATTGCCGTATACGTTCAAAACAGTGCAGTACAACACAAATCAATCGTGAATATATTATACACGTCACTAACTCACTAAATTCCAAAAATACGCCGGAGCACTCACCCATCCTCCTTGTGAGGCGATCCACTGTCCGGTGTCCCTCTCTGCCACCATACCCAGCGACTCGATCAGGCCCAGCAGGTACTCTGGGTGACCTGGAAAGGAACAGGTGAGGTCAGAAACGGCCTCTGTATGATGCTATATATGGTTGCTGGTTTTGCTGTTATGTGCTGTTGTTTGTGACATGACGGCCCACGCGATCTTGACACAACCAGAGCAAATCCAAAATCAAAGTACCTATCATACAAAGATAAATTGTAATTGCAGACAAGTAGAATACATTGGCACGTTAGAAAGAAAACTACCAATAGACTTTGATCGATTTATATCACGGCCAGCCGGTATCCCACCAATATCACGTCAGATGAACGTTACGCCATCATCCCAGCCCTCCGTGACCCCTCAGCTCCGACATGCCGCCGGTCACGCCCAGATTTGGCTCGGTCCGTGATGAGGCGACTGTACATAAGTGGACGGGCGGCTAATGGCTGTCTCAGGTGTGACTGCCGACTGACTGGCATGCAAGGCGCTCCTACCGCGGGTAATCCCATGCAGTATTTCTTCCCATTGTTGCGGTAATGCGGAATGTTGCATAATGAAGAGTAATAAACATCTCTGGGTTCTAATGAGGGTGTTATATATTATACAAATGAGTGATTCAACTCATTAAGATAAACATGTCAAGCGTTGGGTAAATCATGTTCATCCGTGGGCAAAGAGAGGGAAATTTTCAACTAAAACGAATATACCATTTTTGATGTTCGGTTCTCATCATTATTTGATTTCTAAGTGAACGCCTAAAAGGTCAGGAAGAAAACAGGTAGAGCTTTTGAGTTTTGACTAGAGCTAAATTGCAATGGCTGATACACACACAAAAAATAGAAAAGCCTTCGACACAACGATGCTGCTGAATTCTGGCCTCCACGTGCTCCTGATCCCACCTGCCTGTTCAGTTCCGCCACCGGCTACCAAATGCGCTCGCCGCCGTGGGGTCTGCGGCGGCATTCTGAGATACCGCCAGTGCCGCTCCAAACAGGCGATTACGTGCGGTGGGCGGCGCACATACATCAGCTCCAGTGCATGTAACACGCCGGTCCGTCCAGCCGGGCACATCCCAGGTAGCACTCAGGCCCGCTCGTGACATACATCAGACAAACGCGGGCTCGCTGGGACCATCCCGGCCAGTGGACGGATTCTCCGGGGCCGCGGGGCCCAGATAGACCCAGAGGCACCCAGCAGAGCCCAGCAGGGCCCAGCGGTGGCCGGCAGTGCCCATCAGGTCTGATCCTCCAAACTCAGACACTACGCCCACCCCCCGCGAACGCATCTCAAATACTAATCAGCGCATTTACATAGTCAAATATGCTGGGTCCTTCGGCGCGGTCGACCAGCTGGGGTGTTCACAGGTGGCTATAGAAAGGTATCAACGTGAAGGAGATGACTGCAGTGGGCTATCCGGGAACAGATATTCGCAGGTGTGTTTGGAGACAAGGGTGATACGATATTCAGTTAGTGGATTAAAGACATACATTTGAAAAGAAGTAACTAAGGTAGTGCAATGTTATGACATTGCATAAAGAAGAAAACATTGCACGAACGATGAGTAAGACTCATATTGACAGTCGACTGTGGTAATTGTAAGCACAATCAGATCACTGCAATCTATAAATCGGTTATATACAAATCTACGCACAGTCATAAACGATGGTTTGATGAATGACATATGCAAGATAGCGCTATGCGAAGCTGGCTATTGGCGGTTAGGCAGACCTCAGATATAAACTATATAAACAGGGACGTGACAGTTATGGTATCATACATTGCGAACAAACCAGTGGGTGCCTAACAACATCAGACAAATATTTCAGAACCTACATACTCATTTTGCCATTTGAGCTGCAATTTACAAATATGGCCCGGAATCATTCTTGTTCTGCTGATGGCTAGCCTAGACATATGTTATTATCAGTCAAAATGCATGGATTTTCCACCGAGGAACAATTCAAACCTGCAGGTGGGATGGTAACTGCTTCAGTTTTGTGAATCCATAATAACTAATACGCTATCCCGCAGACTTAATGGGCGTTTGCTCGCGCACCAGCATCCATAATTGTACTGTAGCATTGATCTCGACTCTAAATATGGGCGAGGATCGGTCCAGTAATAACAGCCTGCCGCGATGATAGTGGGCTGGGTCGGGTAGTTTACGCCAGATTGGGAAATGAGATAGAAGGGCAGAGAGAGGTGTAATTGGACGGTCCGTCAAATATTGTTAGGCATCACGAGGAATAAATTGTGAAAATCAAACATTCCGTGACTGGGCTTAAAACAGATGCGAATGGAGAGGTGTCATTTACTCCCATTAGCATCACAAAGTCAAACGCGCTGCATTTTGTGGATGATTTACAAAGTTTATGGGATGTGTGGTGGGTCTTTATATAGGCCATCGATTTATGTCGAACGACACCTCCACGCACAAAGGTGAGCCTCTTTTTGCCTCAGTTTCTCCGCCGGGACCTCCTATATCAATTCTGATTGCCGCCAACATTGACAAATTCGCCAACACTTTGGCTTTAGACCTCCTGCCGTTTTCAGTGCAACCGAGCAGAAACAGTTCGTGCTTTTAGGCCCGGAACACACTGCGACCCACTCTCTGGGAGGTCTGTCATGTGACACCCCCAGTCAGAGGACCCCCAGCTGACGGTCACGTGACCGCCCACCGGGGCTCGCCGGCTCCCAGACACGTTCTGCCCGTCACCTGTGTCTGGACGCGCGCCAGACACTGTTTCAAAGCACGTACTGTTCATGTGGCATGGCTATTTCGGTCGTATACGGACGCTATTGAAGTCTCGGGTTTGTGTTCAAGTTGGTATGGTTGCTAGTTTCATTGCTGTGCCACGAGGCATGCCTTTTTTTATAAAATATTTTTGTTGCCCGACCCGGGCTTTTGTCGTTAGTAGCACACATTCATACTAGGTTAGTACACTATATACACGGCAGTGGTACGAATCGTTTTCGGCACCCGCTACGCGGGACAGCCTTGACCGCACGCTTCCTGTCACGCACCCCAGGTGGCACCGCACTGGTGCGCACGCTGGGGCTATCCCGATTTCTCGGGCCCGGCAGGTCAGAGGGCTGCTCCGGAACATGAAGCGAGGCCGTGCCCTCGGGACATGTCACCGGACCGAAGGATCTGTTTAAAGGCGGATCAGGCCCGTGTACCTGCGGCCGGGGGCGCTGGCTGGCACAGCGGTAATCCCCACGACCGAGCGAACACTCCCCAGTTACTGCCATCTCCTGGGTAGGAGCCGGCCGAGGAAAACGCTGCCAGAGGTCAGCTTTGATCCAAGGACCTCCCACACCAAACGTGAACGCACTTGCTCAAAAGCTGGGGAACATTAGTGTTGCCAGCGGGGGAACTCCAAACGGGAAGAGGGAAGGAGAAAGAAAAGATTTTGTAATACATTTCGGCCCAATGTAAGGCACTCATTCTCAACTACGAGCATCCAAGAGCTCACTGAGTCAATATCGTCGCCCTCCCTTAATTCCGTCGGGAGATATTCCACGCGAAAGCTATGGTTCCTTTCTTGTGATCGGGAGGTATCAATTGAAGTCTTTGATGATAGTTTCCTATGCTGGGGAATGGGCGTTGCAGTCTCTCCCTCGACCAATCAGAGGGCGGAACCGATCGATGATCTACCGGTTCCGAGTCTGGTGGAGCAGTGGACCTCTTATGAGCTTTAGCAAAAGGTGCTGGAGATGCCGGAGATGCGTATGCTCTACTGAAGCAAGATTCAGTCGTATCGGTAGAATGCATCCCGGAGCCAGCAAATGTAAACAAACGTTGGACAAAGCACGTGAGTCTGGCGAACATACAGCGCCAAGTGTATGTCATTAATTTTTTTACATTAATGGCATGCATGGGCAGTGTTATGCTGAATATATTTATGTTGAAAGTCTTGAAAGTGGGTAGAGAAGAAGGTACCTTGTCAGTATCGATTTCTGTTTCAGTTTTGCATCGACATTGTTAGAGGTTCCAACGTATTTGATTGGTATCACCGGAGTTGTCATAATGATAAGGTTTGCATGGAGGATGTCAAATAAAAGGACATTACATTCTAGTCAAAATAAATGCATTGTTCATAGGTTTATTAAATATGATTTAATTTTATTGAGAGCAAGCATTTTTGAAATAATTTACACTGTTTAAGCTTAAAACAGTAGACGCCTAAAACATGGAAATTTTATATGAAGGCCCTCTGAAGCACCGTACTACTGTTGACAGAAAACAATGGGGAAAAGTCACAAAGCCTTTGGACAAGCCATCTGGGCCCAGCGCCTGAAAAAATTCGCACAACAAAAATGCTGGACGCCGGACATGGGCAGCAGGCCCGGTCCGAGACAGCCAAGGGCTGTCCTTGACCTGTATAACAAGGTGAGTTGGAGACATATTGAGCTTAGATCGCCTACCATCAATTGTTAACTTTCCGAAAAATCTACATTTTCTTAGTCTCTTATCTTAGTCTTCTTAGTCAGAGGTATACAGAGGTCTATGGTAATTGGTATGTATTATCATTAACATAATATATGATTGTATTTGTGTTTCAGGTCCAAAGATGCCCACGGCAGTGCGGCAGCCAGCAGCCGCTGACCTTCCGGGGGGTGGCTGCGCTGCAAAGAGGCTGTAACTGTGGACTGCACAGTGTAAGAGCAGACAATTCATGGAGAACTTCTTGATGCCTAGTTCCCATATACTTGTGGTTTTAAATGACTTCTTTTTGGTACAGGGATGCAAACATACACCATAGAGTATGAGAAAGCCCTTATGAACTCATGTTCACATGTGTTTGATTAAATTATTTTTTTTTTAAAGAGAATCCTGCTCAATACGCATACCATAACAGTGCACCATTTTTCAGTGAGTAACTAGGTCTCATTCTTTTTCAGAGCCCCAGTCATCATGCACCATTCTTGCATCCTCACTAGAATGTCAGCTGTGACTGGGTGGTCCTATTTGATGCTTCTAATCACTATTTCTGACTAATTTATTTGCTTGGTGTTGGACATGTCGCTGTTTTGCTGTTTTGCTGTTTTTTTGGGGGGGGTGGTGGATGGCTTGGACAATAGCACAGTATAGTATTTTGAGTACATCTGTGGTGTCCTGGGCTGAGAGTTGTACCTATTACTTGTAAAGGTGTGCTGTGTTGTTGCACAGGTCCCCAGGCTTAGTGCTGGTGCTTGCGAGCTAACACAACAGTGCAATGGTGTGGTGGCTGGTTAACTTATGTTCACAAGTTTGTTTTATCCCATTTATTGTTAACCTCACTGCTTTTCATGACATTTTTCTTTCCTTGGTTTTGCAAATGCTTTGCTTGGGCTGCATACTTAGAGCATGATGGTCATGATGGTGGCTGAATTCAGTACGCTGAGCTGCATCCAACCCATGCTCTAGGACCCCCATGACAGGGCTGGGATCCAGCGGATCCGGCAATATGTTGAGTCCGGCCGTCTGGCGGAGCTGAGGCAGCGCCCCAACATCCAGCCCAATCTGCAGCTTGAGCGGCATGCTGCAGGCCAGGTAATTATAAACATAATATGTCATTGCCACCCAAACTGGCTGTTCACTTGTGTTGTTTGCTCTTAGAGTACCTCATTGTGTGGGCATTTCTTGTTCTTTGCTGCCAAAACATGATTACGGAGCAAGCGAAGCGAGCGGAGTCTTTCGTAGATTAACGGAAATTTCTGGGTATGAGCGGCCGGCCGGCCGGCCGTGCGGACGCTTTTGCGAGGCTTATATCTCAGCAACCACTTGACCGATTTACCTGCGGTAATTTTTGTAGGGTAGCTTCATTCCTTCTTCCAAGCAGACATGGGCATGGATCCCAGACAACCAATCACGAAAATCGAGATGGTCATTAGATGCATGTGGATGATCCCTTATGTAGGTGCCACGTGCAAAAAGAAGAGGTGTCAGTTTTGTAATAGTTGCAATACCGTAGCTTCGTGCAACTTTGGCCCACTTTTTTCGTTGAGCCTCAATAATTAAGTCATCTTTTATGTACAATGTTAAGCAACATGGTCTGGATAGAGGTCACCCCTTTTCCAGGCATGGGCCAAAATTGCCCTTGGTGGCCAAAGTTGCACGAAACTACGGTATCTCGGTAACTACTCGGCCGATTGCGCTAAAAGTTGGCATGTAGGTAGGCACCCACTATGCAATGCATATCCATGTGCCAGAGTTGGGGTGCTGCTGCACGTGCGCACGTGCAGGGGTCGATTCCAGATCTCGAGAACGGCTGGACCGATGGCGCTCAAATTTGGTACGTGGTTAGGGACCGGTTAGTAGGGTGCCGTGCAAAAGTCAGTTGGGACCCATTTTGCACGTGCGCACGTGCAGGGTGCCGCTTCCAGATCTCGAGAACGGCTGGGCCGATTGTGCTCAAATTTGGCACATCGCTAGAGACCGGTTAGTAGGGTGCCGTGCACAACTCAGTTGGAGGTACCCCCTCGCAATTTCGCACGTGCAAGGCTCACTCTCTCGCTCGCTCCGTTAGTCGCCCCAAAAGGCGTTATACTGGTTATCTAATATCGCTTGGCAATGACACAATAGAAACCTGAAGGGTGGTCGAAAGCCTTCTGGAATAGGGTTAAGCTAAGCACTTTATCCTGTATCTCATTAATACTTAATTCTATTCTTTTCCAGGGACTACAGCCAGCGACCTCCACTTCCATGCCTTCCTGATCGAGGGTCTGGTTAGATGGAACGCGGATCGTCACCTGGCGGCGATCGGACAGGACAGCGCCCGCGAGGTCCGGTGCTACGGACGAGTACAGGGTGCTACGACGGCCGGATACGGGCAGCCGTCAACGACCTGTCGCAGAGGGTGCTCAAGAGGGACCTAGTCACCAGAAGCGAGCCTCTTCGATACACGGGTAAAAAGTCGCATGCTACAGTCACACAAATTATACAGTACAAAAACTGCCAACTAATGCCAATGATCGAATGCAGTTAAGTCCGCTAGCCTCCATTGAATTTGAACTTATGAAAAAGTTGCCGCTGCCGCGACAACCGATCAGCTAAAATTATTTACTACCTAATACCTATATACATAAAACGAACTTACGTACCAAGACGTGTCAAGTTGTCACAAGTCGTGAAACATAATGTTTCACACATGCTTCTGTTTACATTCAGGTGAGCTCGTCGGGGTCGCCTACCTGTACGGACAGACGGGCCGTAGGCTCGACGAGTACAGGGTGGGTGACCCCGACACGCAGCACGGCGAGGATGACGATGTTGGCGATGACCTCGACGAGGGATTCGAGGACGTCGAGGACATCTTCGTGACCGACGCGTACGATGGTCTCGAAATGCCAGTAAGTTAATTAAAGAGTACCGGAGGGTGTGTCGACAGAGGTGTTTTTCTCACAGATTCGCGTTAGACAAAGATATAAAGTGGCGCGAGCATGCCAAAACACTAGCCCTGCATTTGGTTTTGCGTAATAGTGCGATTTGACGAGGCTCGTGCGGGTCGAAGTTACAGCGAAAAAGTCGCAGTCGACGGTGCTGCCACCTACATTGCCAATAACGGACACTATCATATCGTGATAATTGGGGTAGTTTCAAATGAGAAATGACTTCTATTTTTGTTCAAACTGCTTGAGAAGAAATGAAACAATTCGGAAACATACATTTTTCCCAAATATCGCGTTCCATTTTTTCCTGTTGAGTTGTTAGGAAAGTGGTAAATTTCAAGGTTGACGGCTAAAAAACGAAACAGGAGGAACAGAGCAGGAATCACGAAGACGTGTGCCGCGCCGATGCTGTAGCCTGTAGATAAGGGGTGAGCAACAGAACCAGCATACCTAACGATTTTGATTAGTGATAGATATTTTTCTCTAAATGAAAGACTATTAGTAACTCAGGCAAGCCCTCTAATATAGGTATCGACAGGGTTGCGGTAAAAGGTACAATCGATGGCACATTACAATTATTCTGAGTTGGGAAACAACACTCTTCAGATACCTACCATCAACAACCTCACTATCTCCTATATGGGAGCTATATCATCTGATTCCAGCGCCCTGAAAACAAACAGGTTATCACCAAATATCTCTGTATTAGCGCCTACCGATATATGCTGAATGACGCTATCAATACCCGACATTTGTAAAAGGTGATTCGCCACACAGACCGCCGGCGTCTGAGGGGTTGAATCAGTGAGCCAGATTGCCAGCGACTCACCGCTGAACTACCGGGCATAACAAAACGGACGATGCGACATGACTCAGAGATCATCACAGACGCGACGGTAAGCCGCGAACAGCTCCTCTGATGTATGCTTTTAAAAATGTTGGCCAAAATTTAAGATCGATGTAATCTAGTGCTAATATTTGGGTTTTCGGTTTTCTAATTCCCTCTATTTCGCGTATTGCTTGAAAATAGCTAGAAGGTTTCTTTTCACCGATAGCAAGTGATTTTAGTTCAAAAGATTGGTGGTGCTGCTACTGGCAACATTATTGGCGCAATATAACCGTTCTTTAGTCACCGTGTCAATAATATTGACACAGTGAATGACCACGACTCTCACTGAATGTGTCTTCCTGTTCCGCAGGAAGCTGAGCTGTGACTGACTGGCCATTGCGTGTCATCAGTTCGGCCAGTAGCGGCGGAATACCTTCAATTAAGGGGGGCACTGCCGACTTTTGGTCCCATATTCTTTCTATGCAACGCCCATAGGGCTAATGTTAAAATGCCAAAATCAAAGGGGGCACGGTGCCGCGGTGCCCTCCCCGTTCCGTCGCCTATGAGTTCGGCTTGACAAGGGAACCGCGAGGTGGCAGATAGCGATATTACGTATCTGAACGAGGGTTCCGCACGAGATCAGATGGCCTTCGGTTACATTTGTCGTTGCGTCTGTGATGATCTCTGAGTCATGTCGCATCGTCCGTTTTGTTATGCCCGGTAGTTCAGCGGTGAGTCGCTGGCAATCTGGCTCACTGATTCAACCCCTCAGACGCCGGCGGTCTGTGTGGCGAATCACCTTTTACAAATGTCGGGTATTGATAGCGTCATTCAGCATATGTCGGTAGGCGCTAATACAGAGATTTTTGGTGATAACCTGTTTGTTTTCAGGGCGCTGGAATCAGATGATATAGCTCCCATATAGGAGATAGTGAGGTTGTTGATGGTAGGTATCTGAAGAGTGTTGTTTCCCAACTCAGAATAATTGTATTGTGCCATCGATTGTACCTTTTACCGCAACCCTGTTGATACCTATATTAGAAGGCTTGCCTGAGTTACTAATAGTCTTTCATTTAGAGAAAAATATCTATCACTAATCAAAATCGTTAGGTATGCTGGTTCTGTTGCTCACCCCTTATCTACAGGCTACAACATCGGCGCGGCACACGTCTTGGTGATTCCTGCTCTGTTCCTCCTGTTTCGTTTTTTAGCCGTCAACCTTGAAATTTACCACTTTCCTAACAACTCAACAGGAAAAAATGGAACGCGATATTTGGGAAAAATGTATGTTTCCGAATTGTTTTATTTCTTCTCAAGCAGTTTGAACAAAAATAGAAGTCATTTCTCATTTGAAACTACCCCAATTATCACGATATGATAGTGCCCGTTATTGGCAATGTAGGTGGCAGCACCGTCCACTGCGACTTTTTCGCTGTAACTTCGACCTGCCCGAGCCTCGTCAAATCGCATTTTTACGCAAAACCAACTGCAGGGCTAGTGTTTTGGCATGCTCGCGCCACTTTTTATCTTTGTCTAACGCGAATCTGCGACTATCGACACACCCACTACCCAAAACATAACAATATGATTAAAAATTAAAGCTAAATGCAACTACTTCAATTTTGCGATATACTGCACCCTTTGATGGATGTTATTTACCCTATTACTTTCTGCATCCCAAATGAAGCAAGCATATAACTTATTTCATAGGTGTACAGGTAACTTAGGATCGCGAAACATACTGAGCTCATGACTACATCGCTTGTGTTTCAGCTTCAGACGCCTCTCCCGGCCGCTCCCGTCGGAGTCCCCAGCCTCGCCGCCGCCGGACCTCAGGGACCCGCTACCGCCCGAGTCCCCAGCTCCGCCGACGCTGGGCCTCAGAGTCCCGCCGACGCTGGGCCTCAGAATCCCGCCGCCGGACCTCAGAGTCCCGCCGCCGCTGCAGCTCCGGGCCCGGCCGCCGCTGCAGCTCCGGGGCCCGCTGCTGCTGCAGCCGCCGCAGCTGCACCTTCAGGACCGCTACCGCTGCCGCTGCAGCCCCGCGGCCTGCTGCCGCTGCAGCCCCGCGGCCTGCTGCCGCTGCAGCTCCGGGGCCCGCTGCCGCTGCGGCTCGGGGGCCCGCTGCTGCTGCAGCCGCCACAGCTGCTGCCTCGTGGCCCGCCGCCGCTAGAGCTCACAACCTCTCACGGGTAGGTAGTCAGCCTCGTTTGATCTAAGGACGGGACTTCTCAGTCATTCAGACCGTTTTGAGTCCAATCAAATAAAACCATTAAGCTCCCCAGGATTGGAAGTGATCACCTGCGACCTCAAAAGTTTCCATAGTTACACTTCCAGTAGCGATATGCAAATCAGCGTTAATTCAGACAGCTAATTGCTCGCTTACATAGTCCCGTGTGTTCCACCTCAAACGGATGAATGGTCCATCAGTTAGCTATACACCGGGCGCAAGCACATATTAATCATGCCAATCACCCTGAGCGCTAAATTCGCCCGTTCTACTTTCAGCATGGTAACCAGCCTCCACCGGCTCCTCCTGCCGTCGACGCTGCCAGCTGGTCACCAGCTGACGCACAGCCGGACCTGGAGGGACGCAGCTCACCCGGCCCTGGTGCAGTAGTGGCCGCCGCTCAGTCGCCCGCCATCCCACTGACGCCAGACTGGGCAGCCGAGGGTCTTCCGGAGGTGCGGCTGCTTCGAGTTGCTTCGACCTTTCTGTTTCACTCGGGATCTTTTTTTCTTCTTAATTATGAAATTAGGTATCTCGGCTGACACGAGTGTAAATGCACCCCGGCCCGGTCACACCAGTCTGCTATAAAAGGATAAATCGTCTGTTCTCAGCACGGCGTTCAGCTGCTGTCGGCTCCTCCGACTACCGCCGGAGCCCCTGGCCCGGTCCCTGCCGGCGTCCCGGGCACAGCCACCGCGCCACCCACCGTCGCTGGCTCCGCCACCACCTCAAGTTTCGGGAACCCCGACCCGGCTCGCCAGGTATGTTGTAACTTGTCTCACAATCAAATTGCTTTAACTGTAAGTGCGCAAAATGCATGTTCTGATGTGTTCATGAAGGTGACATGCTCTTGTCAGACACCCTCGTTTTCCATGTATGTTTTAAGGACGTGACCGGCCCCGACCACCAGCCGGGGTACGCCGAGTGCCACCGCCTGGCGCAGGTGCTCGTCGGCCTAGACTGCTCGCGGGGGTATGTCGCCGACGAAGAGGCCGAGTCCATCGTCCACCTGTGGCACCAGCTCTCCGCCGGCGACAGAGCCAAGGTGGCGGCCTCCCCGCGGTACCAGCACCGGCTGACGACCGGCCGGTTTAAACAGCCGAAGACCAGTCGGCTGTCTGGTGTCGTGCCGGGCGTGGACAGCGCACGGAGGTAAGGATCCCGCATTTTAAAATAGGACTATCATTGTAAGCGTTGTTCTCAAATGAAACACCATCGGGCAGAATAATTGGGGTTTGCACGCATATTATTGGAACTATTAAATTATGTCATATTTATTAAAAGGCAATAAAAGTGAGATATTGTCCATGCTGGTAGGATTTTGTACGCATGTTAGTCACAACCTGGACATGCTGATGTGATGAAAAAGAAATACGAAACGCGTCCACGTCATCACATAATTTAATTATTGATTTTCACGAAACACAACTTGCATACTGCTTGCCAGAGACCTTCAATTTGGAAGGTATGTCCAACGTGTGCTCCGTAGAATTTCGTAGAACACATGTGAAAGTGAACTTAATGATGGATTTCTATTTGACAGAGTCTCACTCAAGCGAGGAGCGGTTCCCGCGCAACGACCCGACTTGAACCGGCTCGCTGAGACGGTCGTCCGCCTGCTCTGCGAGCGGTACCGAAACCCCAGGCGCAGCGGAGGGTCGGTCCAGTCGCGCTGGGCGCAGATCCTGGCCCACCACTCCAGCCTGCGGGACATTCTCCTCAAATGTCCCGCAATCACCCAGCGGACTGGAGTCAACCTGGCGGCTCTGAACCAGCACACGCTCACGTCCTGGTGAGTTATATGTTCGCTCGATCCTGCAGATGCAGAGACTTGATAGAATGTCCAGTGTCCATCCTCTCATCAATAATGGTGTAAGATATGTTATAAAAATACTACCATCATATTCGCCCGTGTGCGGCTTTACTGCTGGGGGGGGGGGGGGGGGGCGGACCCGTTCATTACCTGATTTTGCTAAATTTATCAGCGAGTGTTAAAGCCAGAACAATACACGCATTCAGTGTTGTAACAATTACGTTTCACAATACTTCTGAGTATCAGAAAATTAAAATTGTTCGCACTGGGAAACCGGCGCGCATCTACCGCATGGTCTTCCTACTGAGGACGCCAATGCTGACGGGATACATCCAGACTCTGTCCCTAAATGCGCTGAACCGAGTTGGGATGAGGCGGTGGGATGCAAGTCGACATCCTGAGAGATCGGAGCGTCAAAAGAGGAGCTCTGGAATACAAGGACCCCAACGAACATTTCAATCAACAGTATAAAGTAAACCCCTCAATTTTTGTTTTTGTTTCGCCGCCAGGTTCAACGAGCACCAGAAGGAGACGGAGCGGAGAGCTCTTCTCCAGGGCGTGCAGCTGCCGCCAGCCCGTCCGATCGCCGCAGTCGCCCTGCCAGCACCGGCGCCGCGGCTGATGCAGGTGCAGGTGGTGCGGGTGGACTGCCGCCGCCCACCGCACCACTTCGTCCTGCCTGCCGACACGGTCGGACAGGCGCAGACCCGCCGTCGCCCGGCCGAGGACACCGGCCACGACACCGCCGCCAAGAGGCCCTACACGCGCCGGCAGCCCACCAACACCTGCGGCCAGTGCAAAGGCGCTCTGACGGCGGACACGGGGCACAGACGGGGGAAGGGCGGCCCATGAAGCCGAAACAAGGTTTTCTGTCCCGTTGCCAACCCTGATCTAACATACGATCAGTGGTTGGCAAAGTTCAAGTGAGAAGTATGTCTTGTACCTATGTATGTATGTCTTGTCTATGTTTTGTGTCCTGTATGCCTGGCAAGTCCAACGCCAGACACCGGCGGAACTGCTTCAGGGCCGCTCTCTCCGGCCGCAGCTCAGGCGCTGCGCCCCCCCCCCCCCCATGATCGCCGCTGGCGCCACCTTTCGGCGCCCCGCCGCCGTCGATGGGGAGAAAAATAAACCAGATCTGACTTCGGATGCCGTCATGGTGTTTGTGTGGCGTAGAACAACGACGATAATAGCGAGTTAAAACCGCCTGACACTGTTTCAGGGTTTGGCGTTTTTGTTCGTGAATGTTTGCCTGTTCCTTTGATACTTAGGTTTACGATTCCCTTCCTTCGTTTGTTTGTTTGGTCGTTAAACATTAAATATACCAGTGTATAATGCAGGCGTACTTCGTCCGGGTGAGGCATCGTAGTCCCTTCGTCCTCGCACCTAAGGTTCACGCTATTCAGGCATGCCAAAAACTTGACCTGTGTGTCTTCCAGGTAGGTATCACACATTCGTGCGCGGGTGGGTGCGTTGAATGCTAGTTAGATTATGCGACAGTGCAGCTAACAGCGACTTCGGACAGCTTCCACGGTCGCAGAACACGGCAGGCAAACTCACTTAAGGCACCGGCCATTCGCTCGAAGCCCGGGCGCCGTCGATTTTGTCGGATTCCACTGTATACCCAACGCATTTATCCTAAGCAATACAATTAATGGTGCAAAGTAGCTGCAGCACGGCATGGGTAGCTTTCATATTCTGTCAATTAACCCGCGCCGGGCCGGTGCTCCGCGACTTCCACGCCGGGCCGGGAGGGGGGGGGGGTCTGAACTCTGAACCCCCCCCCGTCTAACTCGGCTCCTGGGCCACGTAGCGAGACGCAGTAAGCGGCATTCGAAAGAACGCCAAAAATAACACTTCGGTCATTTTTAGATCAGGTCAAAGCTCGGGGCCCTGTTTCACCGGTGATAGCAGCACGCTGCTATCACACGTGTCAAATTGGGTTTCCATGGAAACATCAACAAACCATGACGCCGTCAATCTGTGTGATGTCATCAAATATTGCTGCTAACATCTTTACGGCCGTGCGATCAGACAAATGTTATCAAACGCATTCAACGAGACAGCAACTCTGTTCCAAACGCAGCTCACGGATTACACGAAACGTCAGTAGTGTGACCTCATCACATTACGTCAGCTCGCGCGAAACCATTACGTCACCGGCGAAACAGGGCCCAGGTCGCCAGAGGCCATCAAAGGTAACATTTTGTCCATTTCAACAATTTTGGAAACTGCCAGCGGCTAACTTGGGAACCGATAGAGCTACAGCGGCGCGGAAAAGCGCATTCGATAGCTCTTTTAATGCTATTTTGCCATAATGTCCCCAGATTTGACCTCGGAAAAGCGCATTCGATAGCTCTTTTAACGCGATTTTGCAATAATGTCCTCAGATTTGACCTCAGGTCAACGGTTTAGCCTCCAGAGGGCAAGAACTCCAAAAATGGCGGTTTTATGAAAAACATTTTTCTGCAATAACTTTTGACTCAGGGAAAAGACGACATTTAATTTGCCAGCGCATCGTGTTCCCCTCGTCGAGACGCGTCGAAAGAATTATAATTTAACCTTGTAAGGTCATTTTGAAAATGTGACCTCAGGTCAAAGTCATGGCCTGACCGGAAAAGGTCATGTTGCATATCAGTCGATCCGTATCGTCGAGCTTAACACATCTGAGGTGTTCTCATCGCTCTAGCTGTCTCTATCAAAAGTTATTGTCAGAGAAAACTCCTGGGGGCCTGATATGACCTGATATGACCTCTGGGTCAAAAGGAGGGGTCACAGGTGCCATTTTTCGGTTCAGCTTGTCGAGTTTACCGGTAACACGATGTTTGAGAATGTTTGGAATGACGTTCGTCCAAAAAAGGCGCCTTTCAATTATCTCCCATTAACTTACCTGAAATGGAGAGGTCGCAAAATTGGCCTGACCTTAGGTCACCAATATCAAAATTCCGAGATATGCATTTTGTATACACTGTTACTATTATCAATCGCTGAAAGTTTCAAGGTGATCGTTTGGTCGTTACAGATATGACGAGGATTCTAACTTTTCTGAGGTGCTTGAGTTACCTGGGTCTGAAATTTTCACATGTGCGGAAAAGATGCATGAACAGGTGTACCAAAAATGGCGGCGCAGCGCCGCCGTTTTCAATATATCTGCGAAAAACCGCAAGAGGGTAACACCCAACCCCCGGCCCGGCGCGGATTAATTTAAGGTTATTTTTGTATGACTGAAGCTGATGTCCACATGGTTTTCAAAGGGTAAATATCGCTGCTTTGAAGCTTTCCATGTTTCTTTCATGAAGCTTTCCAGGCAGTCATTTTTGAAAATGACTGCTACCAGTCAATGGAGGAAAAAAAGAACAACTTATATCAATTATGGAGATATAGAAATAGCAAATGAACGCCAAAGAGGAAGATCACAAGAATCGATAGAATATCAGACGAAGATAATACGGAAGGGGTGGCGTTGCAAAGCCAACACCCCGAGAAAAATCTGATCTGATCTGATGTTTTTCAATATCCTGAATCCAAGAATGATACTCATTAGTGCAAGGAGTATCATGATAATCCATTGAGGGGAGGTCACCCAACCCTAACTCATCAGACCCAACCCATCCTGGGCTTATGCAAAGGTAGGTGAGGTGTTAGGTTTTGGGTGGGTGTAGGGTTGGGTTGTCAGGCTTGGTCAGGGTAAGTTTGGTTAAGTTAGGTTAGGTTGGATTAGGCTGAGCTTACTCAGATTTGCTAGGCAAGGTCAGGTAACTTCACTTCAATGAATTATAATGATACCTATTTGCTGCCAGACATGTGCATGGATCCGAGAAAATGGATCTGGGATCTGATCCCCCGAATACTGATCTCGGATCCGTCGGGACCATAGATCCAGCTCTGTAATTTATCGAGAGATCCATGGGGATCACAGATCCGAGTCTCATTTTTTGCTTGAGATCCAGTGAGATCATAGATCCTCACTTATTTTTTTTGTTAAAACATATATAAAAAACTTGTTTCAAGTTTCAACTCACAAAACAAACGTTCTGTTTTAGTGATTTTATGTGATCGCACGTCATAATCCACAGTTTTGTGTCACTTATTGGCATAGAAACCCATTAAAACATGGTTTCAAATGTGGTACATGGTGGGATCCACTCAGATCATAGATCCATGTTCTTAATTTATCGTCAGATCATATGTCATAGATTCAAGATGTATTTTTCACACCAAATCCGGTGGGATCATAGATCCCAACCTGTACTTTGCTTCGACATCCACTGAGATCATAGATCCATTACTCGGATACATGCACATGTCTGTTTGCTGCACTTATTAACATTATTTTTGGGATCCCAAGTATTGAAAAACATGGAAAAGAGCAAATTTAATCTTGGAAAAATCTGGTGCTTTAGTGTTACAGTAATTTTCATCTTAACCCCACCATTCATTGCATTTGATGTGTTGTGTTTCATTGCAAAATGTTTGCTTGTTTTACATAGCATTTAATAAAGAAATTAAATCAACACAAATGAGACATTTACAAGTTGCAAGATCAAGAACATGCTGACTGGAAAACGTAATCATGGGCTCTGTCAATGGGGGGGGGGGAGGAGTTGCAGGGGTTAAAGCCACCCAATAATTTTGCTTCTGCAATGCCAACCAATAGGTAGTGATGCATTTACGGATCCAACCCCCAATCCTGAGAATGTGTCAGAGCGCCCAAGTGGAATGAATATATGCTGCTCAAAATGAACTTTTCATAAACAACAGTTGATCATAAAACAGTGACTTTTAACAAATTTCAAGGCTTTTGGGTCAGAACTTTAAAATGGCTTAAGATATTTTGCTCAAATGCCAACCAATTAGGTACCTATGCTTTAGTGCAGGGTACATAATAAGTGCCTACTGCCTAAGCTGGAACCTGAGATATACCTAAGCCAAAAGCAAAGAAGCTCCGGGTGGGGTTACTTTCAGAAGTGCTCATGAATCAAAGTTACCCTGGCCTGTCAATACCCCTGGTTTTAAAGCAGCCCTGTTTTACAGTACAAATTTAAATATGTAAATAACATGTTAATGTGTAATGCCTGACACAATTTGTATGATAAAATCCAGGATTTCTTTGGTTGGCATTAACAGCAAAATAGGTACCAATACCTATAAACATCTTTGAGCCATATAAGATCAGGGCCCTGTTTCACCGGTGATAGCAGCACGCTGCTATCAAATTGCGCGAGCTGACGTAATGTGATGACGTCGTACTGCTGACGTAAGGGGCAATTCTGGCGCACGATTGCCGCAATATTGTTTTACGTCATCAACTAAATGGTCGAAGTTTAAGTCCAAATTTTCCTTAAACCCAACTTCTTTTAAATACATCATATTAAAAAATATATGTTACAAATAAATATACTATCATGACTGTGTAAACTCTTACTTTTAAGCACACACGTCACTTAATGCCGTGGCCAAGGTCGCGGCATTCGTACGCCAGAACTGCCCATCACGTCAACAGTATGGCGTCATGACATGACGTCAGCCGTGCTGCTATCACCAGTGAAACAGGGCCCAGACGTAGCTATATTATCTATGTTGATTTGCACTTGCCAAACTGATGATGTAAAGCAAAAGATGAAACATGAAAATTTCAATTCTGAATGCAAAATGTATTTTGATGAAAAAATGTACCAATAAGAATACCAGCCAACACTTCTACAAAGGCCCTGTTTCACGGGCGCTAGCAACGCGCTGCAAAAGCTTTTCACAAAAGGAACCAAATATGAACGCCTTATGAAACGAGAGGAAACATAAATATGAACGATTTTCTTCCAATATATTTGCATTGAACTCAGTGAAATATAGGTAATAAAAATGAGGGTGCATCGGAGAGGATATTCACGGCTTGGTCTCACCTTTATTATGCTAACTATGAACATTAATATGGCATTTCCAGGCAAGGTGGGTCGGTCAATGCCATACCTACCTGACCAACTAATAAAAACGAATTTCACCGAACTGTGCTTCGATAATGCAAAAAAACATTTATAAAACCAAATGAAAACAAAACCTTACGGAGTTTGTTACTCAGCCTTGGGTCTCCTAACGCAAAAAATTAATTGGACGCTGAACGAGGACTGTGACGTTTGCGCCTCTATATTCAGTAAAGCTGTGAACTTTCCCACACTTGTGTCCGTTATTATAAATTTATAGGTACGTACTATTTGTAAATAATAGTTTCAATGCTTAAAACTTCTCGTTAAACATAACTATCTCAACCCAGTTTTGTCAAACGTCACTGAAATCAAGGCCATACTGAAAAAAGCAGCGAGTGCCCACTCCAGGCTCTACCGGTATCCGAAGAGCCTGGCGGTCTTCTCAGCTCAGTGTACGTATTGGGCGAATACGCCCCGGAAACGGTAGAGCATTTTTCTACCAGGAGACTCCACTCAATGCTTGCACGTGATTGGCTGCCGCTATTCCAATCGAAGCAACGTGATTGGCTGGCGGCATCTCCACTCGAAGCAACACGATCCAGCGCCACGGAGCGCCAAAGCTGGGGAACATTAGTGTTGCCAGCGGGGGAACTCCAAACGGGAAGAGGGAAGGAGAAAGAAAAGATTTTGTAATACATTTCGGCCCAATGTAAGGCACTCATTCTCAACTACGAGCATCCAAGAGCTCACTGAGTCAATATCGTCGCCCTCCCTTAATTCCGTCGGGAGATATTCCACGCGAAAGCTATGGTTCCTTTCTTGTGATCGGGAGGTATCAATTGAAGTCTTTGATGATAGTTTCCTATGCTGGGGAATGGGCGTTGCAGTCTCTCCCTCGACCAATCAGAGGGCGGAACCGATCGATGATCTACCGGTTCCGAGTCTGGTGGAGCAGTGGACCTCTTATGAGCTTTAGCAAAAGGTGCTGGAGATGCCGGAGATGCGTATGCTCTACTGAAGCAAGATTCAGTCGTATCGGTAGAATGCATCCCGGAGCCAGCAAATGTAAACAAACGTTGGACAAAGCACGTGAGTCTGGCGAACATACAGCGCCAAGTGTATGTCATTAATTTTTTTACATTAATGGCATGCATGGGCAGTGTTATGCTGAATATATTTATGTTGAAAGTCTTGAAAGTGGGTAGAGAAGAAGGTACCTTGTCAGTATCGATTTCTGTTTCAGTTTTGCATCGACATTGTTAGAGGTTCCAACGTATTTGATTGGTATCACCGGAGTTGTCATAATGATAAGGTTTGCATGGAGGATGTCAAATAAAAGGACATTACATTCTAGTCAAAATAAATGCATTGTTCATAGGTTTATTAAATATGATTTAATTTTATTGAGAGCAAGCATTTTTGAAATAATTTACACTGTTTAAGCTTAAAACAGTAGACGCCTAAAACATGGAAATTTTATATGAAGGCCCTCTGAAGCACCGTACTACTGTTGACAGAAAACAATGGGGAAAAGTCACAAAGCCTTTGGACAAGCCATCTGGGCCCAGCGCCTGAAAAAATTCGCACAACAAAAATGCTGGACGCCGGACATGGGCAGCAGGCCCGGTCCGAGACAGCCAAGGGCTGTCCTTGACCTGTATAACAAGGTGAGTTGGAGACATATTGAGCTTAGATCGCCTACCATCAATTGTTAACTTTCCGAAAAATCTACATTTTCTTAGTCTCTTATCTTAGTCTTCTTAGTCAGAGGTATACAGAGGTCTATGGTAATTGGTATGTATTATCATTAACATAATATATGATTGTATTTGTGTTTCAGGTCCAAAGATGCCCACGGCAGTGCGGCAGCCAGCAGCCGCTGACCTTCCGGGGGGTGGCTGCGCTGCAAAGAGGCTGTAACTGTGGACTGCACAGTGTAAGAGCAGACAATTCATGGAGAACTTCTTGATGCCTAGTTCCCATATACTTGTGGTTTTAAATGACTTCTTTTTGGTACAGGGATGCAAACATACACCATAGAGTATGAGAAAGCCCTTATGAACTCATGTTCACATGTGTTTGATTAAATTATTTTTTTTTTAAAGAGAATCCTGCTCAATACGCATACCATAACAGTGCACCATTTTTCAGTGAGTAACTAGGTCTCATTCTTTTTCAGAGCCCCAGTCATCATGCACCATTCTTGCATCCTCACTAGAATGTCAGCTGTGACTGGGTGGTCCTATTTGATGCTTCTAATCACTATTTCTGACTAATTTATTTGCTTGGTGTTGGACATGTCGCTGTTTTGCTGTTTTGCTGTTTTTTTGGGGGGGGTGGTGGATGGCTTGGACAATAGCACAGTATAGTATTTTGAGTACATCTGTGGTGTCCTGGGCTGAGAGTTGTACCTATTACTTGTAAAGGTGTGCTGTGTTGTTGCACAGGTCCCCAGGCTTAGTGCTGGTGCTTGCGAGCTAACACAACAGTGCAATGGTGTGGTGGCTGGTTAACTTATGTTCACAAGTTTGTTTTATCCCATTTATTGTTAACCTCACTGCTTTTCATGACATTTTTCTTTCCTTGGTTTTGCAAATGCTTTGCTTGGGCTGCATACTTAGAGCATGATGGTCATGATGGTGGCTGAATTCAGTACGCTGAGCTGCATCCAACCCATGCTCTAGGACCCCCATGACAGGGCTGGGATCCAGCGGATCCGGCAATATGTTGAGTCCGGCCGTCTGGCGGAGCTGAGGCAGCGCCCCAACATCCAGCCCAATCTGCAGCTTGAGCGGCATGCTGCAGGCCAGGTAATTATAAACATAATATGTCATTGCCACCCAAACTGGCTGTTCACTTGTGTTGTTTGCTCTTAGAGTACCTCATTGTGTGGGCATTTCTTGTTCTTTGCTGCCAAAACATGATTACGGAGCAAGCGAAGCGAGCGGAGTCTTTCGTAGATTAACGGAAATTTCTGGGTATGAGCGGCCGGCCGGCCGGCCGTGCGGACGCTTTTGCGAGGCTTATATCTCAGCAACCACTTGACCGATTTACCTGCGGTAATTTTTGTAGGGTAGCTTCATTCCTTCTTCCAAGCAGACATGGGCATGGATCCCAGACAACCAATCACGAAAATCGAGATGGTCATTAGATGCATGTGGATGATCCCTTATGTAGGTGCCACGTGCAAAAAGAAGAGGTGTCAGTTTTGTAATAGTTGCAATACCGTAGCTTCGTGCAACTTTGGCCCACTTTTTTCGTTGAGCCTCAATAATTAAGTCATCTTTTATGTACAATGTTAAGCAACATGGTCTGGATAGAGGTCACCCCTTTTCCAGGCATGGGCCAAAATTGCCCTTGGTGGCCAAAGTTGCACGAAACTACGGTATCTCGGTAACTACTCGGCCGATTGCGCTAAAAGTTGGCATGTAGGTAGGCACCCACTATGCAATGCATATCCATGTGCCAGAGTTGGGGTGCTGCTGCACGTGCGCACGTGCAGGGGTCGATTCCAGATCTCGAGAACGGCTGGACCGATGGCGCTCAAATTTGGTACGTGGTTAGGGACCGGTTAGTAGGGTGCCGTGCAAAAGTCAGTTGGGACCCATTTTGCACGTGCGCACGTGCAGGGTGCCGCTTCCAGATCTCGAGAACGGCTGGGCCGATTGTGCTCAAATTTGGCACATCGCTAGAGACCGGTTAGTAGGGTGCCGTGCACAACTCAGTTGGAGGTACCCCCTCGCAATTTCGCACGTGCAAGGCTCACTCTCTCGCTCGCTCCGTTAGTCGCCCCAAAAGGCGTTATACTGGTTATCTAATATCGCTTGGCAATGACACAATAGAAACCTGAAGGGTGGTCGAAAGCCTTCTGGAATAGGGTTAAGCTAAGCACTTTATCCTGTATCTCATTAATACTTAATTCTATTCTTTTCCAGGGACTACAGCCAGCGACCTCCACTTCCATGCCTTCCTGATCGAGGGTCTGGTTAGATGGAACGCGGATCGTCACCTGGCGGCGATCGGACAGGACAGCGCCCGCGAGGTCCGGTGCTACGGACGAGTACAGGGTGCTACGACGGCCGGATACGGGCAGCCGTCAACGACCTGTCGCAGAGGGTGCTCAAGAGGGACCTAGTCACCAGAAGCGAGCCTCTTCGATACACGGGTAAAAAGTCGCATGCTACAGTCACACAAATTATACAGTACAAAAACTGCCAACTAATGCCAATGATCGAATGCAGTTAAGTCCGCTAGCCTCCATTGAATTTGAACTTATGAAAAAGTTGCCGCTGCCGCGACAACCGATCAGCTAAAATTATTTACTACCTAATACCTATATACATAAAACGAACTTACGTACCAAGACGTGTCAAGTTGTCACAAGTCGTGAAACATAATGTTTCACACATGCTTCTGTTTACATTCAGGTGAGCTCGTCGGGGTCGCCTACCTGTACGGACAGACGGGCCGTAGGCTCGACGAGTACAGGGTGGGTGACCCCGACACGCAGCACGGCGAGGATGACGATGTTGGCGATGACCTCGACGAGGGATTCGAGGACGTCGAGGACATCTTCGTGACCGACGCGTACGATGGTCTCGAAATGCCAGTAAGTTAATTAAAGAGTACCGGAGGGTGTGTCGACAGAGGTGTTTTTCTCACAGATTCGCGTTAGACAAAGATATAAAGTGGCGCGAGCATGCCAAAACACTAGCCCTGCATTTGGTTTTGCGTAATAGTGCGATTTGACGAGGCTCGTGCGGGTCGAAGTTACAGCGAAAAAGTCGCAGTCGACGGTGCTGCCACCTACATTGCCAATAACGGACACTATCATATCGTGATAATTGGGGTAGTTTCAAATGAGAAATGACTTCTATTTTTGTTCAAACTGCTTGAGAAGAAATGAAACAATTCGGAAACATACATTTTTCCCAAATATCGCGTTCCATTTTTTCCTGTTGAGTTGTTAGGAAAGTGGTAAATTTCAAGGTTGACGGCTAAAAAACGAAACAGGAGGAACAGAGCAGGAATCACGAAGACGTGTGCCGCGCCGATGCTGTAGCCTGTAGATAAGGGGTGAGCAACAGAACCAGCATACCTAACGATTTTGATTAGTGATAGATATTTTTCTCTAAATGAAAGACTATTAGTAACTCAGGCAAGCCCTCTAATATAGGTATCGACAGGGTTGCGGTAAAAGGTACAATCGATGGCACATTACAATTATTCTGAGTTGGGAAACAACACTCTTCAGATACCTACCATCAACAACCTCACTATCTCCTATATGGGAGCTATATCATCTGATTCCAGCGCCCTGAAAACAAACAGGTTATCACCAAATATCTCTGTATTAGCGCCTACCGATATATGCTGAATGACGCTATCAATACCCGACATTTGTAAAAGGTGATTCGCCACACAGACCGCCGGCGTCTGAGGGGTTGAATCAGTGAGCCAGATTGCCAGCGACTCACCGCTGAACTACCGGGCATAACAAAACGGACGATGCGACATGACTCAGAGATCATCACAGACGCGACGGTAAGCCGCGAACAGCTCCTCTGATGTATGCTTTTAAAAATGTTGGCCAAAATTTAAGATCGATGTAATCTAGTGCTAATATTTGGGTTTTCGGTTTTCTAATTCCCTCTATTTCGCGTATTGCTTGAAAATAGCTAGAAGGTTTCTTTTCACCGATAGCAAGTGATTTTAGTTCAAAAGATTGGTGGTGCTGCTACTGGCAACATTATTGGCGCAATATAACCGTTCTTTAGTCACCGTGTCAATAATATTGACACAGTGAATGACCACGACTCTCACTGAATGTGTCTTCCTGTTCCGCAGGAAGCTGAGCTGTGACTGACTGGCCATTGCGTGTCATCAGTTCGGCCAGTAGCGGCGGAATACCTTCAATTAAGGGGGGCACTGCCGACTTTTGGTCCCATATTCTTTCTATGCAACGCCCATAGGGCTAATGTTAAAATGCCAAAATCAAAGGGGGCACGGTGCCGCGGTGCCCTCCCCGTTCCGTCGCCTATGAGTTCGGCTTGACAAGGGAACCGCGAGGTGGCAGATAGCGATATTACGTATCTGAACGAGGGTTCCGCACGAGATCAGATGGCCTTCGGTTACATTTGTCGTTGCGTCTGTGATGATCTCTGAGTCATGTCGCATCGTCCGTTTTGTTATGCCCGGTAGTTCAGCGGTGAGTCGCTGGCAATCTGGCTCACTGATTCAACCCCTCAGACGCCGGCGGTCTGTGTGGCGAATCACCTTTTACAAATGTCGGGTATTGATAGCGTCATTCAGCATATGTCGGTAGGCGCTAATACAGAGATTTTTGGTGATAACCTGTTTGTTTTCAGGGCGCTGGAATCAGATGATATAGCTCCCATATAGGAGATAGTGAGGTTGTTGATGGTAGGTATCTGAAGAGTGTTGTTTCCCAACTCAGAATAATTGTATTGTGCCATCGATTGTACCTTTTACCGCAACCCTGTTGATACCTATATTAGAAGGCTTGCCTGAGTTACTAATAGTCTTTCATTTAGAGAAAAATATCTATCACTAATCAAAATCGTTAGGTATGCTGGTTCTGTTGCTCACCCCTTATCTACAGGCTACAACATCGGCGCGGCACACGTCTTGGTGATTCCTGCTCTGTTCCTCCTGTTTCGTTTTTTAGCCGTCAACCTTGAAATTTACCACTTTCCTAACAACTCAACAGGAAAAAATGGAACGCGATATTTGGGAAAAATGTATGTTTCCGAATTGTTTTATTTCTTCTCAAGCAGTTTGAACAAAAATAGAAGTCATTTCTCATTTGAAACTACCCCAATTATCACGATATGATAGTGCCCGTTATTGGCAATGTAGGTGGCAGCACCGTCCACTGCGACTTTTTCGCTGTAACTTCGACCTGCCCGAGCCTCGTCAAATCGCATTTTTACGCAAAACCAACTGCAGGGCTAGTGTTTTGGCATGCTCGCGCCACTTTTTATCTTTGTCTAACGCGAATCTGCGACTATCGACACACCCACTACCCAAAACATAACAATATGATTAAAAATTAAAGCTAAATGCAACTACTTCAATTTTGCGATATACTGCACCCTTTGATGGATGTTATTTACCCTATTACTTTCTGCATCCCAAATGAAGCAAGCATATAACTTATTTCATAGGTGTACAGGTAACTTAGGATCGCGAAACATACTGAGCTCATGACTACATCGCTTGTGTTTCAGCTTCAGACGCCTCTCCCGGCCGCTCCCGTCGGAGTCCCCAGCCTCGCCGCCGCCGGACCTCAGGGACCCGCTACCGCCCGAGTCCCCAGCTCCGCCGACGCTGGGCCTCAGAGTCCCGCCGACGCTGGGCCTCAGAATCCCGCCGCCGGACCTCAGAGTCCCGCCGCCGCTGCAGCTCCGGGCCCGGCCGCCGCTGCAGCTCCGGGGCCCGCTGCTGCTGCAGCCGCCGCAGCTGCACCTTCAGGACCGCTACCGCTGCCGCTGCAGCCCCGCGGCCTGCTGCCGCTGCAGCCCCGCGGCCTGCTGCCGCTGCAGCTCCGGGGCCCGCTGCCGCTGCGGCTCGGGGGCCCGCTGCTGCTGCAGCCGCCACAGCTGCTGCCTCGTGGCCCGCCGCCGCTAGAGCTCACAACCTCTCACGGGTAGGTAGTCAGCCTCGTTTGATCTAAGGACGGGACTTCTCAGTCATTCAGACCGTTTTGAGTCCAATCAAATAAAACCATTAAGCTCCCCAGGATTGGAAGTGATCACCTGCGACCTCAAAAGTTTCCATAGTTACACTTCCAGTAGCGATATGCAAATCAGCGTTAATTCAGACAGCTAATTGCTCGCTTACATAGTCCCGTGTGTTCCACCTCAAACGGATGAATGGTCCATCAGTTAGCTATACACCGGGCGCAAGCACATATTAATCATGCCAATCACCCTGAGCGCTAAATTCGCCCGTTCTACTTTCAGCATGGTAACCAGCCTCCACCGGCTCCTCCTGCCGTCGACGCTGCCAGCTGGTCACCAGCTGACGCACAGCCGGACCTGGAGGGACGCAGCTCACCCGGCCCTGGTGCAGTAGTGGCCGCCGCTCAGTCGCCCGCCATCCCACTGACGCCAGACTGGGCAGCCGAGGGTCTTCCGGAGGTGCGGCTGCTTCGAGTTGCTTCGACCTTTCTGTTTCACTCGGGATCTTTTTTTCTTCTTAATTATGAAATTAGGTATCTCGGCTGACACGAGTGTAAATGCACCCCGGCCCGGTCACACCAGTCTGCTATAAAAGGATAAATCGTCTGTTCTCAGCACGGCGTTCAGCTGCTGTCGGCTCCTCCGACTACCGCCGGAGCCCCTGGCCCGGTCCCTGCCGGCGTCCCGGGCACAGCCACCGCGCCACCCACCGTCGCTGGCTCCGCCACCACCTCAAGTTTCGGGAACCCCGACCCGGCTCGCCAGGTATGTTGTAACTTGTCTCACAATCAAATTGCTTTAACTGTAAGTGCGCAAAATGCATGTTCTGATGTGTTCATGAAGGTGACATGCTCTTGTCAGACACCCTCGTTTTCCATGTATGTTTTAAGGACGTGACCGGCCCCGACCACCAGCCGGGGTACGCCGAGTGCCACCGCCTGGCGCAGGTGCTCGTCGGCCTAGACTGCTCGCGGGGGTATGTCGCCGACGAAGAGGCCGAGTCCATCGTCCACCTGTGGCACCAGCTCTCCGCCGGCGACAGAGCCAAGGTGGCGGCCTCCCCGCGGTACCAGCACCGGCTGACGACCGGCCGGTTTAAACAGCCGAAGACCAGTCGGCTGTCTGGTGTCGTGCCGGGCGTGGACAGCGCACGGAGGTAAGGATCCCGCATTTTAAAATAGGACTATCATTGTAAGCGTTGTTCTCAAATGAAACACCATCGGGCAGAATAATTGGGGTTTGCACGCATATTATTGGAACTATTAAATTATGTCATATTTATTAAAAGGCAATAAAAGTGAGATATTGTCCATGCTGGTAGGATTTTGTACGCATGTTAGTCACAACCTGGACATGCTGATGTGATGAAAAAGAAATACGAAACGCGTCCACGTCATCACATAATTTAATTATTGATTTTCACGAAACACAACTTGCATACTGCTTGCCAGAGACCTTCAATTTGGAAGGTATGTCCAACGTGTGCTCCGTAGAATTTCGTAGAACACATGTGAAAGTGAACTTAATGATGGATTTCTATTTGACAGAGTCTCACTCAAGCGAGGAGCGGTTCCCGCGCAACGACCCGACTTGAACCGGCTCGCTGAGACGGTCGTCCGCCTGCTCTGCGAGCGGTACCGAAACCCCAGGCGCAGCGGAGGGTCGGTCCAGTCGCGCTGGGCGCAGATCCTGGCCCACCACTCCAGCCTGCGGGACATTCTCCTCAAATGTCCCGCAATCACCCAGCGGACTGGAGTCAACCTGGCGGCTCTGAACCAGCACACGCTCACGTCCTGGTGAGTTATATGTTCGCTCGATCCTGCAGATGCAGAGACTTGATAGAATGTCCAGTGTCCATCCTCTCATCAATAATGGTGTAAGATATGTTATAAAAATACTACCATCATATTCGCCCGTGTGCGGCTTTACTGCTGGGGGGGGGGGGGGGGGGCGGACCCGTTCATTACCTGATTTTGCTAAATTTATCAGCGAGTGTTAAAGCCAGAACAATACACGCATTCAGTGTTGTAACAATTACGTTTCACAATACTTCTGAGTATCAGAAAATTAAAATTGTTCGCACTGGGAAACCGGCGCGCATCTACCGCATGGTCTTCCTACTGAGGACGCCAATGCTGACGGGATACATCCAGACTCTGTCCCTAAATGCGCTGAACCGAGTTGGGATGAGGCGGTGGGATGCAAGTCGACATCCTGAGAGATCGGAGCGTCAAAAGAGGAGCTCTGGAATACAAGGACCCCAACGAACATTTCAATCAACAGTATAAAGTAAACCCCTCAATTTTTGTTTTTGTTTCGCCGCCAGGTTCAACGAGCACCAGAAGGAGACGGAGCGGAGAGCTCTTCTCCAGGGCGTGCAGCTGCCGCCAGCCCGTCCGATCGCCGCAGTCGCCCTGCCAGCACCGGCGCCGCGGCTGATGCAGGTGCAGGTGGTGCGGGTGGACTGCCGCCGCCCACCGCACCACTTCGTCCTGCCTGCCGACACGGTCGGACAGGCGCAGACCCGCCGTCGCCCGGCCGAGGACACCGGCCACGACACCGCCGCCAAGAGGCCCTACACGCGCCGGCAGCCCACCAACACCTGCGGCCAGTGCAAAGGCGCTCTGACGGCGGACACGGGGCACAGACGGGGGAAGGGCGGCCCATGAAGCCGAAACAAGGTTTTCTGTCCCGTTGCCAACCCTGATCTAACATACGATCAGTGGTTGGCAAAGTTCAAGTGAGAAGTATGTCTTGTACCTATGTATGTATGTCTTGTCTATGTTTTGTGTCCTGTATGCCTGGCAAGTCCAACGCCAGACACCGGCGGAACTGCTTCAGGGCCGCTCTCTCCGGCCGCAGCTCAGGCGCTGCGCCCCCCCCCCCCCCATGATCGCCGCTGGCGCCACCTTTCGGCGCCCCGCCGCCGTCGATGGGGAGAAAAATAAACCAGATCTGACTTCGGATGCCGTCATGGTGTTTGTGTGGCGTAGAACAACGACGATAATAGCGAGTTAAAACCGCCTGACACTGTTTCAGGGTTTGGCGTTTTTGTTCGTGAATGTTTGCCTGTTCCTTTGATACTTAGGTTTACGATTCCCTTCCTTCGTTTGTTTGTTTGGTCGTTAAACATTAAATATACCAGTGTATAATGCAGGCGTACTTCGTCCGGGTGAGGCATCGTAGTCCCTTCGTCCTCGCACCTAAGGTTCACGCTATTCAGGCATGCCAAAAACTTGACCTGTGTGTCTTCCAGGTAGGTATCACACATTCGTGCGCGGGTGGGTGCGTTGAATGCTAGTTAGATTATGCGACAGTGCAGCTAACAGCGACTTCGGACAGCTTCCACGGTCGCAGAACACGGCAGGCAAACTCACTTAAGGCACCGGCCATTCGCTCGAAGCCCGGGCGCCGTCGATTTTGTCGGATTCCACTGTATACCCAACGCATTTATCCTAAGCAATACAATTAATGGTGCAAAGTAGCTGCAGCACGGCATGGGTAGCTTTCATATTCTGTCAATTAACCCGCGCCGGGCCGGTGCTCCGCGACTTCCACGCCGGGCCGGGAGGGGGGGGGGGTCTGAACTCTGAACCCCCCCCCGTCTAACTCGGCTCCTGGGCCACGTAGCGAGACGCAGTAAGCGGCATTCGAAAGAACGCCAAAAATAACACTTCGGTCATTTTTAGATCAGGTCAAAGCTCGGGGCCCTGTTTCACCGGTGATAGCAGCACGCTGCTATCACACGTGTCAAATTGGGTTTCCATGGAAACATCAACAAACCATGACGCCGTCAATCTGTGTGATGTCATCAAATATTGCTGCTAACATCTTTACGGCCGTGCGATCAGACAAATGTTATCAAACGCATTCAACGAGACAGCAACTCTGTTCCAAACGCAGCTCACGGATTACACGAAACGTCAGTAGTGTGACCTCATCACATTACGTCAGCTCGCGCGAAACCATTACGTCACCGGCGAAACAGGGCCCAGGTCGCCAGAGGCCATCAAAGGTAACATTTTGTCCATTTCAACAATTTTGGAAACTGCCAGCGGCTAACTTGGGAACCGATAGAGCTACAGCGGCGCGGAAAAGCGCATTCGATAGCTCTTTTAATGCTATTTTGCCATAATGTCCCCAGATTTGACCTCGGAAAAGCGCATTCGATAGCTCTTTTAACGCGATTTTGCAATAATGTCCTCAGATTTGACCTCAGGTCAACGGTTTAGCCTCCAGAGGGCAAGAACTCCAAAAATGGCGGTTTTATGAAAAACATTTTTCTGCAATAACTTTTGACTCAGGGAAAAGACGACATTTAATTTGCCAGCGCATCGTGTTCCCCTCGTCGAGACGCGTCGAAAGAATTATAATTTAACCTTGTAAGGTCATTTTGAAAATGTGACCTCAGGTCAAAGTCATGGCCTGACCGGAAAAGGTCATGTTGCATATCAGTCGATCCGTATCGTCGAGCTTAACACATCTGAGGTGTTCTCATCGCTCTAGCTGTCTCTATCAAAAGTTATTGTCAGAGAAAACTCCTGGGGGCCTGATATGACCTGATATGACCTCTGGGTCAAAAGGAGGGGTCACAGGTGCCATTTTTCGGTTCAGCTTGTCGAGTTTACCGGTAACACGATGTTTGAGAATGTTTGGAATGACGTTCGTCCAAAAAAGGCGCCTTTCAATTATCTCCCATTAACTTACCTGAAATGGAGAGGTCGCAAAATTGGCCTGACCTTAGGTCACCAATATCAAAATTCCGAGATATGCATTTTGTATACACTGTTACTATTATCAATCGCTGAAAGTTTCAAGGTGATCGTTTGGTCGTTACAGATATGACGAGGATTCTAACTTTTCTGAGGTGCTTGAGTTACCTGGGTCTGAAATTTTCACATGTGCGGAAAAGATGCATGAACAGGTGTACCAAAAATGGCGGCGCAGCGCCGCCGTTTTCAATATATCTGCGAAAAACCGCAAGAGGGTAACACCCAACCCCCGGCCCGGCGCGGATTAATTTAAGGTTATTTTTGTATGACTGAAGCTGATGTCCACATGGTTTTCAAAGGGTAAATATCGCTGCTTTGAAGCTTTCCATGTTTCTTTCATGAAGCTTTCCAGGCAGTCATTTTTGAAAATGACTGCTACCAGTCAATGGAGGAAAAAAAGAACAACTTATATCAATTATGGAGATATAGAAATAGCAAATGAACGCCAAAGAGGAAGATCACAAGAATCGATAGAATATCAGACGAAGATAATACGGAAGGGGTGGCGTTGCAAAGCCAACACCCCGAGAAAAATCTGATCTGATCTGATGTTTTTCAATATCCTGAATCCAAGAATGATACTCATTAGTGCAAGGAGTATCATGATAATCCATTGAGGGGAGGTCACCCAACCCTAACTCATCAGACCCAACCCATCCTGGGCTTATGCAAAGGTAGGTGAGGTGTTAGGTTTTGGGTGGGTGTAGGGTTGGGTTGTCAGGCTTGGTCAGGGTAAGTTTGGTTAAGTTAGGTTAGGTTGGATTAGGCTGAGCTTACTCAGATTTGCTAGGCAAGGTCAGGTAACTTCACTTCAATGAATTATAATGATACCTATTTGCTGCCAGACATGTGCATGGATCCGAGAAAATGGATCTGGGATCTGATCCCCCGAATACTGATCTCGGATCCGTCGGGACCATAGATCCAGCTCTGTAATTTATCGAGAGATCCATGGGGATCACAGATCCGAGTCTCATTTTTTGCTTGAGATCCAGTGAGATCATAGATCCTCACTTATTTTTTTTGTTAAAACATATATAAAAAACTTGTTTCAAGTTTCAACTCACAAAACAAACGTTCTGTTTTAGTGATTTTATGTGATCGCACGTCATAATCCACAGTTTTGTGTCACTTATTGGCATAGAAACCCATTAAAACATGGTTTCAAATGTGGTACATGGTGGGATCCACTCAGATCATAGATCCATGTTCTTAATTTATCGTCAGATCATATGTCATAGATTCAAGATGTATTTTTCACACCAAATCCGGTGGGATCATAGATCCCAACCTGTACTTTGCTTCGACATCCACTGAGATCATAGATCCATTACTCGGATACATGCACATGTCTGTTTGCTGCACTTATTAACATTATTTTTGGGATCCCAAGTATTGAAAAACATGGAAAAGAGCAAATTTAATCTTGGAAAAATCTGGTGCTTTAGTGTTACAGTAATTTTCATCTTAACCCCACCATTCATTGCATTTGATGTGTTGTGTTTCATTGCAAAATGTTTGCTTGTTTTACATAGCATTTAATAAAGAAATTAAATCAACACAAATGAGACATTTACAAGTTGCAAGATCAAGAACATGCTGACTGGAAAACGTAATCATGGGCTCTGTCAATGGGGGGGGGGAGGAGTTGCAGGGGTTAAAGCCACCCAATAATTTTGCTTCTGCAATGCCAACCAATAGGTAGTGATGCATTTACGGATCCAACCCCCCAATCCTGAGAATGTGTCAGAGCGCCCAAGTGGAATGAATATATGCTGCTCAAAATGAACTTTTCATAAACAACAGTTGATCATAAAACAGTGACTTTTAACAAATTTCAAGGCTTTTGGGTCAGAACTTTAAAATGGCTTAAGATATTTTGCTCAAATGCCAACCAATTAGGTACCTATGCTTTAGTGCAGGGTACATAATAAGTGCCTACTGCCTAAGCTGGAACCTGAGATATACCTAAGCCAAAAGCAAAGAAGCTCCGGGTGGGGTTACTTTCAGAAGTGCTCATGAATCAAAGTTACCCTGGCCTGTCAATACCCCTGGTTTTAAAGCAGCCCTGTTTTACAGTACAAAATTTAAATATGTAAATAACATGTTAATGTGTAATGCCTGACACAATTTGTATGATAAAATCCAGGATTTCTTTGGTTGGCATTAACAGCAAAATAGGTACCAATACCTATAAACATCTTTGAGCCATATAAGATCAGGGCCCTGTTTCACCGGTGATAGCAGCACGCTGCTATCAAATTGCGCGAGCTGACGTAATGTGATGACGTCGTACTGCTGACGTAAGGGGCAATTCTGGCGCACGATTGCCGCAATATTGTTTTACGTCATCAACTAAATGGTCGAAGTTTAAGTCCAAATTTTCCTTAAACCCAACTTCTTTTAAATACATCATATTAAAAAATATATGTTACAAATAAATATACTATCATGACTGTGTAAACTCTTACTTTTAAGCACACACGTCACTTAATGCCGTGGCCAAGGTCGCGGCATTCGTACGCCAGAACTGCCCATCACGTCAACAGTATGGCGTCATGACATGACGTCAGCCGTGCTGCTATCACCAGTGAAACAGGGCCCAGACGTAGCTATATTATCTATGTTGATTTGCACTTGCCAAACTGATGATGTAAAGCAAAAGATGAAACATGAAAATTTCAATTCTGAATGCAAAATGTATTTTGATGAAAAAATGTACCAATAAGAATACCAGCCAACACTTCTACAAAGGCCCTGTTTCACGGGCGCTAGCAACGCGCTGCAAAAGCTTTTCACAAAAGGAACCAAATATGAACGCCTTATGAAACGAGAGGAAACATAAATATGAACGATTTTCTTCCAATATATTTGCATTGAACTCAGTGAAATATAGGTAATAAAAATGAGGGTGCATCGGAGAGGATATTCACGGCTTGGTCTCACCTTTATTATGCTAACTATGAACATTAATATGGCATTTCCAGGCAAGGTGGGTCGGTCAATGCCATACCTACCTGACCAACTAATAAAAACGAATTTCACCGAACTGTGCTTCGATAATGCAAAAAAACATTTATAAAACCAAATGAAAACAAAACCTTACGGAGTTTGTTACTCAGCCTTGGGTCTCCTAACGCAAAAAATTAATTGGACGCTGAACGAGGACTGTGACGTTTGCGCCTCTATATTCAGTAAAGCTGTGAACTTTCCCACACTTGTGTCCGTTATTATAAATTTATAGGTACGTACTATTTGTAAATAATAGTTTCAATGCTTAAAACTTCTCGTTAAACATAACTATCTCAACCCAGTTTTGTCAAACGTCACTGAAATCAAGGCCATACTGAAAAAAGCAGCGAGTGCCCACTCCAGGCTCTAC